ATTCTAATTTATTATTCTTCCCTAAAAAAGAATTTAATTAAAAAAATAGTAATGGATGTTCCAGCTAGCAAAATATTCTCTTATATGGGAAGTTATCAATAATCCAAAATATTTTTAATTCTGTGCTTAAAATGAACCTTCAGCTTACAATTCACTGCCTGCATTTTCTTCTCCTAGTTAGACCACTGATGAATTTTGGATAAGTCACCATACGTAATATTCTTTGGACACATTCTGATGTCAGAGAACATCAAATTAAGATGTTTTAGTACTATGTTTTGCAAATAAAGTGTTCTACATTATTTCCCAAGTGTTCAATACGTGAATATATGAACTTTTAAAGAAGTAAATCTGTCACTAAAGTCACAGATTGCAGTCCAACCTGGTACATCTCTTTTGTTCTTGAGCATCAGTATATGATGACCATCTTTGATAACTATAGACAAAAATATTTTAAAACATTTTGCAAGTAAAAAAGGATCTGAATTTTAAGTCTTGACAGTAGTACACGTGATCTTGAGTATAAATTCCAGCAAATGGCTTAATATATGTCTTGATATTTAGTTAGTAAGCCTTTTTTAAATGACAACAGAAAGTTAGAAAAGTTTATTTTAAATGATAGTCTGGATGTATCTGATTAGAACCGAAGCATGACACTACTAGATTTTATTTTTTTTTAATGTGAAATAAACCAGGAGTTTAATCCTCTATATGTATTGTTATCCATCCACAGTTTAAAGATGGTCTCAGATTCTATTGTTTCTTTGATACTGAAGTGAGAACAGGAGATCCAATCTGATCCTGTTTGTTGGAAAATGATCTGGGACTCAGAAGACCTCAGCTTTAGCTTCACTCTCAGGAAAAGCAGAAATGGCTCTTTAAAAAAAAAACCCACAAAAACAAAACAACCAACAGTGTCAAGGTCAGTGAAATAATACAAAAAGAATGGAACTTTGAATTTCTGAAGGTATTTTCCACCTACTTAATTTCATTAAAAATTAATGCAGACTAATGTGTCGAGAATAATTAGAGACACCAAAATCGATCAGCTTCAGAAGGAAGAAGAAGAAGTAAAGAAATTATAGACTGGCACTGCATACAAATGACACCACAGCTTCTCAGTTACTGACAAGTGGGAAAGCCATTCTGTCCTACATCAGTGTTTTAACAAATAAAGCACGACAATGACATCACTTGGTGTCTGTATCAGCACTGTTTCATACTACAGGTGCAATAAGTACTTAAAAGCCTAAGTCTTCCCTCACAGGAAAGAAAAATACATGTCCACTTAAAAATAGCTTAAAAAAAAATACACAGGGAAGGAAAAAAAAATTCACAGAGAAGGAAAATACATGTCCATTGTTAGCTTAAAACTATGTCTGCTTAGACTGCATAGCTTGCGGTCCCCCCTCCATAGGGTTGGGGATTGAAGAAGAGGATGTAGCACCCAACATGATTTCAATGTTTGTATTTTTCATGTTCTGCAAACTGTCATCACAGGCCTTTGCAACATCTTCTGCTTCTTTAAAGATATATTTGTTTAATCAAGTTGTTAGTGTTGAATTCTGAAATGCTAAATCAATTGCTGATTACCAAGTGTTTCTGTGACCATGCATTAATCACTAAAGGAAGAGCACAGTCAACAACCTGGAAGACAGGAAAGCCACTGCAGCACATCGGGCAAAGGCTGAGAAAGTACAGTGTGCAACCAACCAAATATAAAAACGAAAGCATAAGATAAGAAAATTCAAGGTACTATATTTAGGCATAAACAGAAGTAACTTTTTAACCATCTGTAGTTGGCTTGCGAAACTGAACATTATTTTACAAATGACTGTGATGCCAGTTAATGGCACATGTACTTTTATCATATTAGGTATCAACTATAAGAGCTTGAACTTTCCATTTATCATTGAATGATCCCTCCCTAGACCTCAGCACATGGTATAACAGCCAACTGAACTGACAGATAAGGAGCTATAGCTGTATCAAACTAACGAAATATAAATAAATCAGATTACCGATTTTGTCTAAAAAAAGCTTCAGAAAGCTCTAGTGTGGCACTGGTACCTCTTTATAATTCATTAATGTGGACATAAGAGCTCTGAAAAAATTTTAACTTTACAGTTTTACAAATCTGCTTTAAATCATCAGAACAATTATGTTCGTGGCATATAACATGAAGAATATCTGCAGGGAAGCACGTTTTCCCCCATGTAACCAAAAATGCTTAGGAAGTGACTCAGATGCGGTATTATTCCCCATGCTGGATATTCTGTTTCATTTATGTAAGGTATTTCCTATCAGTATTTAACAAAATACTATCAGCAGATTTGAAAATGTTACTCTGACAAAATGATCACAAGATAGAACTGTTGTTTTTCCTTTGCTAATTTTGAAGAAATAGAGCAGCTGTAGTACAGACGTTTTTAACATGGTACTTAAAAGTTTTAAATTCAGGAAAAAACAAGAAATCTCTAGTAGCTTTTTTAAAAATAAACTATTTTTCATCACAGAAATTATGTAGAAATAGAGGAAAACATTCTTTGCACTGCTTCTGCTTTTTTCTAATAGGGGTTGAATCTTTGCAAAGTCATGCTTGAAATGATAGCTAATTTGAATTAAAAGCATATAAGATTAATTGCAAACTAACAGGCAATTGTCTTATGAATTCTCTGTAATTTCCTTTTTTTTGTACATATTTGTTGCTCACATAGTATAAGAGCAGCTACCCAATGCAGTTCTAGGCACTCATCAAACTATCTTAAAAATATTTGATTCCTCTTCCCTGCACAGAAAAGTCACTTCATGACCATACTATTCCATTCCTTAATTTAATTTCAATCTAATTCTTGCACTTACTTGTATTTAATCTTATGCTAACACAATTAAGAGCTTTGATTTACAAGGTACACAAGCTAGTTTAAAACAAGCCTATGTCAGTGATATCTCTTGGTAAAGCACAAAAGTTGATAGTGTTTGGTGAATACAGTTCTATTCCTAGATTTGAGAAAGATTTTTTTTCAAAAATGTTTCTTTTCCATTGTTGGCTGCACAAGTGATCGAAGAATCACATAAGCACGAACAGATTAATCCAAACTTCTGCTTGAAGCAGGATCCAATTAGCTGAAGCTGCTGAGGACCACGTCCAGGGAAGTTTTTAATATCTCCAAGAGTACAGATACCTCCAATCTCTCTGGACAACCTTTTGCAGTATTTATTCAAATCATTTATAGAAGGCTTTTTTGTGGCAGAATCGATTTAGATGTTAAACAGGCTGTTGGATGGCTCTTACTGCAATTCTAATCATGAGGAAACTCAGAAATTTGTGACAAAGAACCTGTGCGGTTTTTTAAGATTAAGGAGTAAATGAAGCAATAAAATTATATGTAAAAACTAACAGCTGATAGTGTTTTATTAAAATGAATCAATATTTTAATATTAATAATTATTATTTAATTTTGTTGTGGCATAAGTGCTATTTAAGCAATATGTGTATTTATTGTACTACAGTAATTAACAATAAAACACCATAGAATCCTAGAACGGTTTGAGTTAGAAGGGACCTTAAAGATCATCTAGTTCCAGCAATCCAAGGAGAGAATACAAATGGCTGGCAAATTTACAAATTTAGATCTTAACTCATTAATAAGGGATTAGACACCACTGTCGTAAAAGACAAACTAAATAGAAATGTGCGCTGCACATGCTACAGGAAAAATTTTGGTCACTGTTGATACTTATAAATTTTTTTGCTAAATGAAATTACCAAGTTCTTCATTAATTTAATTGAAAGAGAAATGCATCCATCACAAGAGACTTAAGAGCCTGTTCAGCTGAATTCAAAGATACATTTAGTTATTATGTTCATAAATAAAACTCAACTAGCTGCTATTCTAATTAAGGAAAGTAAAGCATTAAGGAATCGACTAAATTGCTTTTAAATCTAGCATTAAAGTTGATTACCTTTCACTGAATGCTTCATAAGTGAGGAGACAACCATAATTTACAATTTTCACTGTGGGGGTTATGCAGTATTTATAATTTATGGTGCTCTCTCCTCTAAATAGATTTAAGTAAAACGAAATGACATTTCCTCATGTGAGGAACCATCTAATCAATACCAAGGGAGTGTATAGGCACCACGGAAAAATTATCATCACTATTATAAACATACTTTTACATTGTCCAAACTTCTAAACATCCATTTAAACAGAAATGGTGTACATCCATGGCAGGAACAAGGCGGCTCAAAATGCACAGCTTAAAAGCACTACATCTTTTTCTAAGATTTTATTATGCATACATTAAGAAATTTTCACAATTACCTAATGCTGTATAGATAGAATGCACTTGTAAGAAGAGGGGAGTCATTAGGATCCATCTGCAATGAGACCTGCATTTTCAGAGGTCCTACCTATATACAGTAACTGTCAGTCATTTAAAAATACGTTTGTTCTGATCGCCTATAGGACCTGCAGAAAGCATTAGAAATTTCCAATGATGAGGAACCCACACTTCCTCCTTTTTACCTACCCACTCAACACTAGGTTCCTGAGACCTAATGACTCCTTTGAGACAGACAAAATTTTTAAAAAGTCATTCAGAAAATGTCAGTTGCAAGTGACAACATGCTTGTGACAGAAAGTTCCCAGAAAAATCCAAGGTAGCATTCTCGAATCAGGACGTTAAAGTGACGAATAGAGCTCTTCATCCCTAGGTAGCATGCCTAGATGTCTACAAGGAGGAGTATTTACTTTCTTTAGGCAGCAACAAACAGAGATTAGAACCACCACAATTTGAGAGACTGCAATTTGCATGTTTGTTGGCTTGTCACAATCTTACTGTTACTTCAATACTGCATTTCCACAGATATGTTACATGATCACTGTATGTTAATCATAATCACTGTAAACAGCACGTATGTTAATAATTATTATAATACAATGATTATAAATTTAGAGAAACTTCAGACATAAGAGTTACATTTGTTTACTTACTGGAGATGCATGTACTTGTGTTATTCTTAACTGGTTTTCCAAATCTTGAACTTTATTTTTCAGTTCTGTGTTTTCAGCTTCTAATTCTTGAATCTACAAAACAAGTGGTTATTACAACAGCTATTGTGATATTCATTCATTTCAACAACAGTATCCACTGAGAGTACATTTTATCTGAGATTTGGTCATTTAGAAGCAATGTTGAACTAGTTACCTGATTACAAAAAATAATTAAATTTTTGTATCTTCCATATTTCCACTTTGCTTTTCTCTTTAACAACTTTGCAAGATGGCAAAACATAAAACACTTTCACAGTTATCAGGTCTTTTTTCAATTTTCTTTTTCAGTATCTTCTGCAATTCTTAGCAATCTGAGAAAAATGCTGGAAATTTTACTGTCATAGAAAGCACATAACACAAATATAGAAGCATGTTCTTTTATCTCTAAAAAAATCTAGTTCAGAACTTACTCTTTTCTGTAAACCTGCAATTTGTTTCCTTGTTTCAACGTCTTTTCCTCCGGATTCCAAAAATTTCCTGTAAGCTAAGTCAAATGCTTGACCAATTGTTAAAGTTATCTCTTCCGCCTTTATATAAAACATAAGATTGAAATTAGTATATTAAAATATTTTATATCGTTACTTTCATTTCAGATGATCACAAAATACTTTACACCATGTACTGTGTTCAAAGGGTTTGCTTCATCCATCATGAAGTCAACACTACAAAGGACCATGGCAAACACTCTTCAGAAATACACTTTGACAGAAAGTGGTATGAAAGCAACTTCAAAATACTTCAGATAAAGAAGGGAGACTGAAGAGGCAGAACAGAATTAGCTAATCTCTAGTATAAATTATGCCTCTGATTTCTGTAAATACAGAGAGCATGCTGCAGTCTGTCTTTTTCTGATGATTTCTGAAGCAAATACAGACTTTTCAATCATCAAAGAAATTGTTTTAGTTTTAACGTTAATGGATGCATTGACCCTTATTGCTTCTAAATTTGGATTTCAACACTTATTTTTAGAAGTCCTATAAAATCCCCATCAGTACAGCGTAGATAAATGTATTTATCTGCGCAAGTATGTTCACTTACAAAAATCCAATCAAACAGAACTTGCATTTGTATGTGTAAAATATAATAATTTTGTAGTTCCATGCTGATTCACATCATATGTTATGATGTGTACATACCATCTCTACAGAAAATCTAGTGTAAAAATAAGTGTACAAGAAGTCGATTGAGCACACCGAGGTTTGAGAAAAAAAATGCTGACTTACAAGAGACACCAATAAAAGGTGAACATATGGATACGCCATTTGCCTTAGAACTAGTAAGCAATAGCTTTTTTTAAAAAAGAAACAAACACAATTTGGCAGGAGAACAGAAAAAGAAATTGGAAAAAACATTAATCTGGCTAAAGCTAAACTAGAATTTTCTCTTCTTTATTGAAATGAAAACCTGAAATCAGTTGTTTCTCAAGAAAGCAGAGCATTCTGCTCAATGCCAAGGACATTTTTCCTTCACTACCTGTAAGAATACGAACAGCTGGAGGCACAAAAATGGTACAGAACATGATGCTCCTTTTACATGTTATGCAGCCTTTTATCTATCAGTGCAACAGTAAAGTCATTCAGTAGAGGTGTGTGAAGACTTGAGCTCTACAGGAATGGGGAATTAACTCCTCTATCTTTTTACTGTGAAAAAAAACATATGGCCACCTTTATTTAAAAAAAATAAATTGCAAGAAATTGCTTTAAGCAAATTACACTGGATTAGACCAAAAAAGCTGAACTGAGACTGCTTTAGAGAATAACTGTTTATTTTAGTAGAAGACTACTATAATAGACACTGGGAATATGCAGTCCTATCTTGTTGGAAGGATAAAGGTTGACTGAAATGAGAAGTAGCAACTGAGGTGGGATCTTTTGACATCTGAGACTACTAATGAACAAAGAACGAAATAGAGGAAAAAAGTACAGTAAGTGAAATATCTGGTAAGAGATAAAAAGACACAGTGCATTGGTCTGGAATAAAAGTGGTACTAGTGTGCAGAAACTGCAAGGGCGGTTTAAAACCCTATGAATGTGTGGAAAAGAGACAGGATAGAAATTTTAAGAGGAACATACATATAGCAATTCTGAACAATATCTACTGAAGGCACTGGAGCAATGCAGGTGAACAACAAAATCACCAGAAACTCTGTGAAGTAACACACAATGCTATATAATTGCATATAAATAGGAGTTAATATGCATATTTTTCTAAAAAAAATATATTATTTCCTCAAGTCTTTCCTTTATATGATATCTCAGCTACTTCAGAATAAATCAAAAAGAGAGCCTCTAGATTATAAAAAAACACTAAGCATCCATTTTTGGTGTTGATTGTAGTGTTTTTATTCATTAATTACTTCCTGCCAGGGTAAACACATGACTGTTTCAGCTAGACACCATTTTCTTCATTTCCTGTCCTAAAGCATTATTTTTTTTTCTGCTATTGCACATTTTTGAACAGTTGCCCTGTTCTGTCTCAGACACAAGAGAATGTCAGTGGTTGGTGCAATGAATTCTCTGGTAGTGCATCACAGCATTAACAAACTTGAGATGTGGCAGGGGGAAGGCAGAGAAGGGGGAACCTTACTGTTAAAAAAAAATAAATAATTAAAACCCAAGAAAACCACTGAAGCAGACACATCCGCAGAAGAGCCTGTAAGGGTATCTCAGCCACAGAATTGCAGCAATCTCTGTGAAACAGCTGTGCAAACATTTCAAGCTTGGTGGGATGCAATCTGTTCTCTGCAATGGCAGACACTTGGCCTCGAACTGAGTACTGAAGAATTGTCCCAGAATTGCCTTAGATCAATGAAGAAAAAAGTTGTCCTTTCAATTAATGCACCTAAGTTACAAGCCACTATATTGGCACGAAAGATTTTATCAAAGTGACCCCAATTAAAACGCAGGCTATCCGCCTTTATTAACCATTCCTGTTTTATTTCAAAGCAGAGCAATCAAAGCCCGGAACAGTCACCCAAACTCTGTTAGTGTGTCTTGCATACTTACACACTTTTCACTGTCAAATACATAGCACAGATGCTTATTTGATTCTGAGTCTTTGCATATGAAAGTAAATATTCTCTTGTCAGTTTTATCATCAGCACAAAATGATATCCTATGGAGTTGACAGTTGTGCTGGACTTCCTGCAAATAAAAAGAAAATCATTTTCAGGAAATCACAATAGTTGCTTAGGATAAAGATGCACAAAGTAAATCTCTGGATTTCCTCATGTACGTAAGAGCAGGCAATTTGCAGGAACGTTTTTGAATGTGGCTCATTGCACATGAGAGTGCCCAAAAATAAACTTGAAGTATAACAGCAGTTAGCAGACTCATCTCCTAACAAATGTTCCCATTCTTACTGAATGTAAGCAGGAAGTTTTTATTTGGACAGCATTTATCTGGAAGTGTTTATTTGGATGGTAATTTCTGTTCTAGAAAATTGATTTGACTGTTGCTTTGCGTCCCTGTGCAAATTATTTAGGGACTGTTTATGTAAAATACTCTGCTCTTTTTCCAGGTGCATGCCACCTTCAGATTTCATCATCTCCCAGGGTTTCTTAAAAAGGTTTTATTGAAACAAGTCCTTACCTTTCTATCTTAAATTGAGACTTTGTTATCCAAATACACGGGCACAGAGAAATAAACTGCACATCTAAGTAATTGCTTACTTAAGGTGCAACATAAACAGCTTTTAAACATTATTATTCACATACTTTCAACACTATATTTCACTTTCCATTAAAAAGCACATTCCAGCTACTTAAAAAGTTGCAGTGGCAATGCTCTCCAGCTAAGAGAGCTTGACAAGACTGAAAGAAACTATCTCGACTATTTTTGTTGTTGTTTTTCTTCAACAAGTCTCTTCTTGGTATTTTATTTTATTTGGCTTATTACATGGGAAAGCAGTATTTCCTTTAAAGGAAAACATGCAGTTTAGATGTGAACTATCATCTATTAAAAAAAAAAGTTTCTGTGCAGCACTGGGCTTCCCAGATTGCCATAAATTCATAAACACTGGCATGCCCTCTCTGCACACAACTATTTACCAAAAAAATGTACCATATGGGCAGTCTTTTCCCCTTGCTCTAACTGGGTTCCTTTTCAGTGTCTTTATAGCTGTTGTTCTGTGTATCCTATTTCTCCCATGTTCCCAAATCCCTCTTACGTTTAATCTCTTTCTGTTGTAGCTCTTTAACAGTTATACTTAATAACACATGCTTATTCTGTCTCTTTTAGGTTTATAGATCCATGTAACTACTTTATATCATTTAAGGACAGAATCTTTTTTCTATGATCCTCCTTTTTTGAGTACCAAGTATAGAATCAAGTCCTGATACATAAGCAGACCTCCTGTTCCTATTACAATTAATAGTCATCACATGAATATAAACAAATATTCCTCTGTAACAATATTGATTTGTTTCAAAAACACATAGAAAAAACTATTGTAATCAGCAATGATAACTTAGAATTTACATAATTTCCTAAAGCATCTATAAATTGCGCAAAAAGAAGGAAAACTTGATTCTAATTTACATGAAGCTTTAAGAAATGAAGTGGGGGAGATAAAAAGACTACTCATAGTTGATTACCATTTGAGTTGTAATAACAGTATTGCTAAGAGATTAGAATGTTCCTACGCCTCCAGGAACTTCCATCCCACAGTTTTCTGTTAATCTCTGCAGGAAGAGTTAGGAAGATGAATATATTTTGGCATTTAAAACTGTTATTTTAAAACAGCTTTTGCCACGATATGAGGTTTAGTCCCTCCTCCTGTCCTATGATGTAAGGAAGATTCAAAAACTGCAATTGAACTTGACATGGCTATTTCTTGCCCCCTCTGCTTATGAACTGCTCAATTGCAGTTGTAACAAGAGTCTGAAGAGAAAATGGGTTGCAAGCAGATACAGCCTTGAACTAAAGCTACCTTTTTTCAAAAGGCAGTATCACTGTCTGAATGGTCGCAATTACTAGAATTAAGAAGAATGACCAGAATTAAGAAGCAGTAACAAATAGTTCACTCAAATTCAACACATGTATAAAAGATTTAAGAGCACTCAGATGATAAGAATTGCTGACTATTGAATAAATACGTTTTAGCTTGATTATATTTATCTCATTATTTCTCTTTGAAGTCTGTGAGGAGGATGTTTTGCTTACTATGTAACCACATCCAAAATACCAGAGCAAACAAAGGAACAGAAAACCCCTCCGTGGGATGATTCAATGGACTTAAGTGCTGAAAAGGCAGGAATTATCATGCTGTGCCAAATGAAAAGTCTACAGTAGTGCTTACAGCCTGCTACATGAAGTCAACAGAGAAATGGTAACACACCTGAGAAACATAAGCATTCTAGGGAGAAGAGAGAATGAAAAAAAAAAAAAAATCAAAAAAAAAGGAGGAAAAAAGTGAATAGGTCGAGGAATGAGAGGTACAATTCCAAAGCAGCAGCATGAAGAATGAGTCACTGCTAACAAATTGTCACCTCATTCACCTGCAAACACCTACATGTGGGCACCTACATAAGGTGACCATTTGGAAAGGTGTTTATCACATGTGGAGTTAAACGTTTATTTACCACAGTGTTTTCATCTTCCTCAGAGTGTGAAAGTTCTGGTGTGAAAGGATTAAAAATATTAAATTCCACATTAGCTACAGTCTGTAATCTGGAGTATCAAGTACCTTCCTAGGAAGATGTTACTCATATGTTGTAACAAGGAATGCTACTTTAGAAGAATTTTCCATCAATAGAATGGCTTTCATTATAATATTTTTTAAAATATAAAACAATAAAAACATTAAAAACAGTTAAAACAATGTTTAACTACTAGTTTAGTATCATAAACATTTAACTCACTTACCTTTGTTTTTGGATCTAGAATTTTTACCCCATAGATTGAGATTTGTAATTCAACTTTGGGTGTCTTCTGGCCTTCAGATTTCTTGATATGTCTTGCAAACTATAAGATGAAAAATACAACAGTAGTTGTATTAATAGTGAGTTCTCTTTATTTTTTTTAATTACTTTTCATTTCCTCTCAACTCCTTCCACTTGAAGTTGTTTCCTTCCTCCTTCAAAAAGCTCTTATAAACAATGCCAACCATTCCCAAAGTCACAGTTGGGCACAGAACAGTGTCTCTGAATGCACTTATGTAGCTGGTTCTCTTGCAACTTTAATCTTCTGTTCATGCACTTAATTTAAGCTTTTGCATGAGATTTCTAGGAGAACAGTAGAAATATGAACACTTTCAGACGGTTTTTCAGCTGCTTCGTTGCTCAGCACTGAACACTGTTGTGTTTTCCACATTCCATTGTTTCTACACACCTGTATACATGCACTGAAGGTACTTCCCATATGTTCCTCTAAGGAAATTAGTTGTTTCAAACAGGTTCAGTGCAAAAGCGCTACAGCTGCCAACACCTAAGAAATACTTGATCTCTTCTACTGTATTCTCAGGATTCATTTGCTAACAGTTCACTAGATGATGGTTAGACAACATTTTATATGACTGGGTCAAGTAATGTGTCCTATTCCACGCTTCTTCCATCCTTTTATATCTCGTTTTCTAGTTGCTAGATTCGATTTGTCTTTCTCTCATGAACGCTGCATATAAAATAAGCAGAGTATCTAAAATTTGCAAACGCATGGCAGTTAAGTGCCACATGAATTTGTGTAACTTAGCAAAGATACGGAATTGCTCTATATTTTGCTCTGTTACCAGCCCTTTTCCTCTCAAGTCTTTGACAGCCTGTAATGGTATTTCCAAACGCATAAATAAGTACGATGACTCACTGAAGGCCAGAAGAGCTGGGAGTCTCTGCTTCACAGCTATATGTTTGAACACACTGTCCTCAGACTTCCTCCCACTTAAGGATAATTGAGTGCAAAATTCACCATCAGTACAAATAAACTATATAAAAAGTTAGTAAGTCAGTGAGGACAATGGCTTTTAGTGGCCTAAAGAGTGTAGGATGTCACCAAGGGTGCTGAACTATCTTAAGAAGGGATAGACCTGGAAGAAAGAAGCCTGAATTACCTTGTAATTGTGAAGTACTTGGCTGCAGCCAACTGATACCTCTGCTCCAAAACACCCAAACCCCTGATTTTAATTATTTAAGTGATAGTTGAGGGTTTGGGTTTTTGCTCTGTCTCTATTCCATGAACTCAACTGCTTTACTCAGTATAACTGATTCCATCTATTTTATTTCATTTTGCTCGTTGGCAGTTCCGTTCACAGCAAATTAACTAGTTTTAAGAACCACCCTAAAAGCACATCATTAACCCGTTTTTCCCTTCCTCCCAATTTTATTCCTCTTTTTGAAAGCACAGTTACTGGAAGTTTCAGTAACTAAGCAATTTATAATTAATCCTATGATTCTATTAACTTCATACAGTAACATGACCTATCCAGACAGTTTATTACTGATTAACGTATCACATTAGCTGACATGTATCACATGCCTCACAAGTCAGTTTAAAAAAAAAGGGGGGGGGGCAAACAAAAAACCCACTCAAACCACTCAATGGCATCCTCAAAATCAACTCTTAAATCTAAATACTCATTTTACATTTCAGCAGCTAGGATTGCTACAGTCATTGGCAAAATATTTTATGAAGGTTTGTACATGTTGAGTTACTAGTGAAAACCTACTAGTCGAAAGTCACGCAAATCTAACGTAACTTTTCTGGTTCTGCCTCTCTTCAGTATCACACGCACAGCTCTTGCAGTATACACATCCTTTTCCTGTCCTCCTATTTATGTTCAAGTCCATTTCCTCACATATTTGGAGTATATTTTTAATACGGTTTAATTACTATCCCCATCCTTTTACTTTAATTAAGGTGGTTCATCTCATACACCTCTTTTTATCTAGAAAAAATTATAATTTTATAGAAAATTGAATTTAAATACCTGATCATTGTTTTACAGGCATTTCGGCCAACGTAATTTCTTTACTTTCTAGGACAATTCAAATTTGTTACAAGCAAAAAAAATATATTTTCCTTAATGAAAATCATTAACACCCCCCCCATAGGACTTAAACTTTATACTACCAATTTAACCTGTTTGATTCTTAATTCTCTGCTTTAAAAACAGGAGAACCAATGTTTTATTAGCACAGATTTTTTTTTTCCAAGATGAATATAAAACTTAAATTGTCTTTCAGACCATTTTCATACATTTACTCAATATCCGCACTCCATCAGCCTTCCTTTCTGATTTGTAAATTGATTATGTCCTTTTATTAGATAAAACTTTGAGGACATATGTTGTCCCTTTTCCTAGTACAACAGAGCTCTGTGCTTGGCTCGCTTTGCTACGCGTTAAACGGAATGACCACAAAACCCACAGATCACCCAGACAGTTAATGAATCTCCATTCCCAATGTACTTTAGAGCACACAGAAACATACCTATGCAGTAGACAATCCTGGGGCACACCTCAATTTGCAACAGCTTTGAACTAGAGTAAATCTTGGCTTTTTGGAAACGTCTCTTTATAAACAAGATGCACACAAGTATTTCTGTGCAGTAACAAAGACGAGGCATAAATGGCATTTGCTTTTACTGAGTTAAAGCCATAGTGTATGTTGAGAACAATGATTAAATATTTGGGTGTCCAATTGTTTGGGTTTCCAATCATCTCAGAGTCCCAAACAACAGCTAAAACATGAAAACTTTTAAAAATAAGTAGATCTGAATAACTTGCACAAGTTTTAGAACAGCTGGCCAAAGCTTGCTCCAAGTAGTCAAGAAGTCTTACAACACTAAGGAAGTTCCAGGAGATAATTCTGTGCCAGCACTAAAAAAAGGGTCAACAAAATGACCCTACCATGTCTCCACTCCAAAAGGCATAAATGAAGTTCAAGAACTAGACAATTCAAGTGACATGAAATGAATGATCAATATGGATTTTACAAAAAAATGCAGCTTGTCAAAATAGACAAAGCATTTGACCGAGTTTTGCATGCCACTATATTTAGGAAATGAAGCAATACAGAGAAAGTATTAGTTACATTAGTTACATTAGTCTCCAGATGCAGTTATAAACAGGAAATTGTCATTGGGAAGATATGTTTCTAATGTATTCCAGCAGGGTTTATTTCTTAAGCATGACATTATTGAACAATGACCAGGAGGAAAATAATTACTGATAAAACCTGCAGGCAGAAAAAATAAGAAGAAAAAACAGGGTAAAAAGTAACAATCTAAAATCTAAAATCATTATAGAGGAAGCTGGCATATCACGAAGGCTGATGGTGGGGCAAATAACCCAGAGAATACCTCACCAACCAGAACATCACCAATTGCCTGTATGCAAACCATCTCTGTTGCAATTCCAACTTTGCAAATCATACATATGAGAACAAAATTTCTTTCTTGGGAGACTACCCTGTGAAAATAGAAATAAGAAAGTCTGGATGTCATGGCAGACTTTCCACTCACTGTGGAGCTTCTCGTGAAACTACGATTGGGAAGACTAATGCAATCCTTGGGTATTTCAAAAAGATCCTTAAGAAGACAACAACGGCTGCACTGCATCAACTGCTTGTGAGAAACTACTCAAATGTTAAGTTCTGAGGTTTTCAAATGCAGAAGGACATTGTCAAAATGGAGAAAGATCACAGGATATTTGCAAAAGTTAGCAGAGGGCTGGAAAGTCCTCTTTATAAGGAACTCCATCAAATCAAAACCAAGCTAATGGTGAAAGAAAAAACATCAAAAAAATCTCTTCACCACAGATATCCAGAGAGACAAACAAGCTTTTTCCTCAAAGGTTTACTGGGATATAGTGACTGAAGAGCACACGGAGATAACTTCAGAAAGTCTGGAGTAGTTACTTCCTCGACGCTTTTCCTGCCTGCTCCCTGCTCTGTGTAATAACAGAAACATACAGATGCTAATCAGTAATTTCTTTTGTATCTGACCTTCTCCAGAACGCCAAGTTCAGCCACCTCCCAAACTTGTGCAGGGTTTGAACAGCAGATCCTAACACTTAGTCACGTATCAGTCAATTTGCTTTTCTTCTATTTTTTTCCTACTCATCCCTCATACCTAAAGAGGACCCTGAGGGACCTCTGGATAGGAGAGATTTACAAACACTATTTTCTCCTTTCAGCACACATTTGAAACAAGGTAATATTTGCAGTTCGTACAGTAACAAGATTATTTAAGAGGTTAACAATCTCTAGTCTTCCACTGGCATCAAAATGGATAATTATATAAAATTATAATGAATCACAGCATGGCTTGGGAAGAGATATGATGGGCCAAATTCTTCAGCTGTTAGTTTATGCATATACTGTTCTCAGGCAAGACACCCAGATTTCGCCTAATAATAATATGAGCAGTTCAGTGGGATGGGCTAGCTATTATTTAACTGCTTTGGAATTAACATCGTATTTTTCTTGAATCGTCTAGGGAAAGCAACAGATACAAATAAATACTTTCTACGGTTTAATTTAGCTTTAAAAAGAAAAAAGTAAAAGCTTCCATAGATTGCCTTTTATTACAGCAGCAGGGAAAATTGCATACTTTGAGAATCTTATTAAAATTACGTTTGAAATGCCCATGCATCAAGTGTTAGCAAACGGCAATCAGAGTGTTAATCAGCAAAAATAACGAGGGAAAAAAATCACATTTTAAAAACAGTCAGGAGCTTTAGTTAAAGAAATAATAGTTAAATTCTATCAAGATCAATTTAAGCTACGGAAATCAAAACTATGTGCTTTTATTTAATATTTACACCTCACTGCATAACTCAGGCATTTATCAAAAAAAACCCTCAAAATATCAAAAGGTAGACATTTCTGTGATTTGGGTGCTAATCATGTTACGGAGGCTTCCAGGGAGACATGAGATATTGCACCTCACATGGGCATCTTAAGAGATACCTGTTTGAGGGTAATGTCATGGTCTAAGCTGAGACACAGCTTTATATCTGGCTTTCAGAAGATGCTTTTCCTTTTTTTTTTTTTTTTTTTTTTCATAGCAACATTCACTATAAGGAAAGATGCCTGAAAAGAAAATTAGACCCTATTTCCTTTGCAGTGACTACATATCATCTTTTTGGTCATATTACCGTCCAAACTCTCATGCACGTTTTATGAGGGTATAATGAAATTATAACCTCTGAAAAATAGCTGTCAAGAGGAAGAAAAGGATGAAAACACCAAAAAGGCCGCAGATATGCGAATCTGAATGTCTCGATAATCAGCTGGGTAGGGATCAAGCTGGCTCAGAAATCCATTTCTATGGAATATGTTGTTTTACTCTCCAAACACACACTAGACTGACAGATGGCTATTGATCCATTATCCACAGCGTAGAAGAAAATGCAGTACAGTTTTTTCCCATCTCTCACTCCCTGAATATTTTCTGTTTTGTTTTGAGTGGGTTTTGGGTGGGTTTTTTTGTGGTTTTTTTTTTTGGTTGGTTGGTGTGGTCGTTTTGGTTTTTTGTTTGTTTGTTTTTGTTGTTTTTTGGGGGAGGTGTTGTTTTTTGTTTGTTTGTTTGTTTTGTGTTTTTTTTTGTTTGGTTTGTTTGGTGGCATGGGGTTTGGGCATTTGTTGTTTATTTGGTGGTGCTTTTTTTGGTTGGGTTTTTCGGTATGTCTTTGTGGTTTATGGTTTTGAGTTTTTTTGAGAGAAATAGGTTAAACAGGTATTCTCTTTGACTCTTCTCATCTGGTCTGCTTTGGTGTTCAGGCTGTCCCTGGCTGGTCCCAAACCACATATTCTGCTTTCTCCAGTACTTCAAAGCGAACTGTCATGGCTGTAAGGCTTGACTGGAAACCTCTTTATCCCAATATTAAAAGATTTTCCGTACTCCACCCTCCTCTGTCCTTTCAACAACAATGAAACCCAGCTTTAACACAAAAGAGAGCTCAGAAGGATATCCACTGATGGTCCATTAAGGGCAGCAGAAGGACAGCATGTCTGGAGGGTGGTAAAAGATCACTCTTCTCTGTATATCCCTATTGGTCAAGGAGCTGATGAAGAATATTTTTGAGAAACTTTAAAAGTGATTAATTCTATTTAAATTATCTCTGGTCATCTCCACTTACAGAAGAAAAGAGAAGAGAAGGAGAAAAGAAGACTGAGTTGGAAATTGGGTAAGAGAACAGCCTTAAGTTTGGTCCTCCCAAAAACATCCCATTGAAGACTGTAAAAGAAACAGCCCAAAACTCAAGTGCTTACTTCTGGTTTCTCTCTAACACTCCTCCATGCCATTTTCTTACTAGTGGTCTGATTATGTTGCCCCTTCCATCTGCCATGCTGATCTTTCCACATGTTCTCACCTCTTCAAGCACTTTTTGAGAAGGACCAAATCCATTCCTACAGTCTGATTTAGAAGTTACATCCTTCATTAATCAGGAAAAGTAATCACTTCACTTTATAAAATAAAGTGTGATTTGACAACATTTACACGTTTGAATAATGTAGGTATGTTCTGATACAACATTGAGGTACCATTTTCCTTAGTTTTTATTTCATTCTAGAAATTAGTTTGACTAGAAAACTGGAAGGAAAAAATTGTTTGTAATAAATTATGAGAACAGTTTACCTGTCTTAGAAATAAAAATACACATTTTGAAACATTCGAGTCCAAATTTCTTCCTTCTGCTGCAGTACAGCTCCAAGAAATTTGAAAACATGAGGGGAAACCCCCACTAGGTAAAACCACGGGACACAGAAAAAGTAAATATAGATGCTAGGAAAATATCTGTATTTTCGAATTGTAACTGATTCACTAAAACTGTCAAGTGTTTAGAAAATGTGGTAGTAATATTTGGGATTAAACAAGTATAATGAAGCATCGAGAAAAATTTCCTCCAATTTACTCTATTTTACTGTAGAACATCAGCTCCACCTGCTGGTAAAAGTAAGTTCAGGGCATCGTGTCGTTATGTCTGACACGTGAAGAGTCCTTGTGCTGTGTGAGTTCAGAGCTTTTGATTTAAAGAACTGAAGAGTTATACATCAAATGTCTATTCTGACACAGTTTGATGGTATGATGGCTTAAGGAAAATAGTTTAGTGACAGTATTTCATGGTCTATAAATCACTGTAAGCACATGACTTGAAAAGGTTATTAGTGCAATGCATGCTAGTTGTAAAAATAGCTCCAAATAACACGAGTCAGTTGTTTTTCTAATAGCTATTAATTTTCATTAAAAAATAATTATGATTAACAACATTGTGATTAAAACAAAATCCATACAAGAAAAAAATACATATAGCATCACAAGCTACACATCTTCTAAAAACTCTCTTATTCCAAAAACACTATATATGTTTTCTTTCAATATATGACATTATTTTTCAAGCTGTTTTCACTGGTTTAAAATTTTAGTTAACATTTTCTAAAAGCAAGCTAGAGATGTGTGTTTAATAATAAAATCCAGTACCTCTAGGCTTCTATTCAAAGAATTCAGATGCACAACATAAATCAATGTTGAAATGAGAATTCCATTAATTGAGGATTCTTTCAAACATAACCTCTTTATTGCTCTCTGAATTCTGTTCCAAGATTTTTCAAGTCTTTACAAAAGCTGTCTTTAATTACTCTGTGAGTTTTCTAATAAACTTGTGATTATGTAAGATCTCATGTAATATTTGACATCTAAGCCCCAAACTTCCAAGGTTGAAAAAGATAGCATAATTCTGGCAGCTGTTTTGTTTAGGGAACATAGGTAAAAAAGAACAGAACATACTCCAATGACACCACAAGGATATACAAAAAAAACTCTACTTTTAAATTGTAGTGCTAGGCTGACAAACGTATTTCCCAAGAAAGGAAAATAGTTTTGGCTCTTCGTACGCTTCAGAGAGTAGTGATGTGAAATCCTTTGGATCTGTTTTTGGAGCAAACTATTTCAAGGTACCAAACCACACAATCCAACCCATCAAAAGCCTCTAGCGATAAGTAAGAGCCCAAGTTAGCCTGGAGTTCCAGCAGTGAGACAGAGACACTTAGCAGCTGCTTTACTTAGGAGGAGTCTGATAAAACATCATTAAAATAGAATCAAAACTTTTCCACAGCAGGATATTAATCATGACAGATTTCTGCACAGGATTAACTTTGCTTAGGTTAATGGAATTTTATAAACACAAACCATCTAATACAACAGGCTTCACTCCAGCATTAGCCATGAACTGTACGAGGCACACACAAAACCATGTGTTTTGTTTCCACTGGTAGCACACTACAATGGTTAAAAAAGGGTCATACTTCTATTAGCCTGAAACACTTGAAAACAACCAGGCAATAGTGTCTCTGACAAACCACAGCAGAGTAAATCTTTTTGGCATAAAGCATTCTAAGAATCGACTAAGTGAATTTTTAAAGGCAGCTGTACCGTTTTGGTAGAGTGAAAATAATGGCAAAGAACTTCTGTTTTGATACCTTAACACAATTACTAAACAATCTTGTAAAGATGCTTCTTCCAAGGGAAGCCTCAGTCTTAAAAGCTGAGCTACATGGATAGTGCTTCATGCCTTCCTTCTGCCTTTTTATTGTAGTAATAACACAGAATCATAGTTTTTAATATTGATTCCCAAAGCTTTCTGTCCATTTTCGAGGAACTTGTGTTTTAATGAATAATGAAAACCCTACAAAAGATTATGGAAAGCACAATAGTAGGCAGAACAATTTTTACATCTAAATAAACTAATGCTCCAATAGCCCTAAGCAGCTAAGCATGGAACAGTGCAATTCCACAGCAATGTGAGTTAGCAGACAAACCAAATCAGCATTCCCTACCACAACCTATAGCATTTGAAGAGCTTTAAGCATATTAGCTGTCACTCAAACAGTCAAGTCAAAGCCATGTTATAAGTTAGCAACCCTCCACAAGTCATTTCACTGGGATACTCTGGTGAGCCCCTCAGTTTCCAAGGACATATAACCAAGAAGAAATTGCAAACATCTGATTTTCTCAGCCATCTATGTCCACCAGCACATTGATAGTGTTTGTATACATGGACTTCTTCCAACAAAACACGAAGACCTGGAGGGCAAGGCAGTGATGCCCCTTGTCATAAACAGGCTTGTTCTGTAAACCCTACTCTCTCACTACAGCTTTATTTCCAGATATATCACCAATTATTACAGCTGAGGGGTGAATGACATTCATGCCAGTGTCACAAACCTTCACCTCAGTCTAATAGCTTACGTGGATCACACACGTTATCTGTAGATGAAGAGCAGTCAGGGACAGCCAGCACTCACAGAGCTATCACAGCCCACTTACGGCGTGGTTTGACACTCTCAATCCTGTTCTCTGGCACCAACAGGTCACCTTGAGTGGGTGGGTACTCTAGGTTTGGCACTAAGAGGCAACTCACCTAACCAGGGCTCACAGGAAGCAATGCATAGCCCAGAGAAATGCACGACAGGCATTACTGAAGTCACTAGTTTTTTGGTCAAAGAAGAGCTCATTTTCTTCAATTCTCTGACAACACGTTTGGAGTGCCATAATTAGAGGCATTTGATAGCCACAGTGAGGATGGCAGCTAAAACAAAGTGTTGCTGTCGAAGTTTGCATTAACAAAGCCCTGAAGTTTCCAAAGAACAAGCATTACACATTAAAGTACATAAAACTTTATAGTATAAATAATTGTATAATCTCTGAGACAACAAAATATTTGTACAGCAGAACATCTGAAAATACGGACATAACAGGGAAGGACCTACACACCAGTGAAGAGATTAGTAAAAGCAACTGCTTTTACAATCAATGAATTTAACCAGAAAGACTTACAAGGTATCTTATTTGTGAAAACAGGTTAAGAACACATTCCATTTACATTTCATTAAAAATTCTCTCTTACCTTTAATTTTCTAACAGCATCTCTTACAACTTCTGTGCCTTTGGGCTGCTCCACCTCCGTACTGCCGAGAAACTGTAAAGATTGCAATTTGTGAGAAATAAGTTATGCATTGAAAGGCCTCATTAACTCAAGTAATCTTATTTTCCAATTATTTCCAAATAACATTTTCGAAAGACAATTGTTTCAATAGTTGATAAATAACAAATCTTCAGACAGTTATTTCTAACCAAGAGAATAACAGGAATTAAATTCTAATTAGACAAATATAAGAGTTATCAAAAGCAGCTTTCAAAAAATATTTTCTTTATCTCGATCCTATACAGGTCTGTAAATTAGAGATGGAGTACCTTTTTCCACTGGGAAACAGTCATTTTTGGCAACATAATCTCTTTTATAAAATAATGTAAAAATGCAAAAAAAAAAATATACTGATATAAGATACCATGAATCAACATGAGTCAATGGTTTAGACTATGTTACTAAAACTTTCATACAGTGATGCAAGGTAAATTAAAAAGGCCTGATGTTGTTCTCAGAGCTGCTTGGTACAGTAATTTAACAGATTTAAAGGAACTAGGCTCCAGTTTCCTTAAAAACAAGGCTCATATTGAAAGAATTTCTACTAGAGATCATATTTTTAGCAAGTAAGGTTTTAATGAAAACCATACACCTGTTAATATACAAAGCATGGTACTTCAAAGGGACCTTACCATTTCTTTATTGGTACACTGAAATGCCTTTACATCCTTATCTTCTACTATACTATTATGAAAAGTAAGATAATCCTGCCCGAACTGCATCTGTGTAATAATTTAATTAATTTTGAATTGCCCAATTTTCACATTGAGGTACAGTTGATTTAAGTCACACCATGTACCTGTATATGCCAAAGCAATGCTAGCAAGAAAGAACAAACCCCCTTTTTTCCCTAAAGTACACAATTTTCTGTGTGACACGATGCAGAGGTATGTATAATTTTTAAGTCTTAGCAGTTTCAAAAGGAACTTAAATTTGCCAAGCTACAGACACTTTCAACATAGTAACTCTGAAATTTTTAATTTTATTAAAATTTCAAAACATGTTTACTGTAGTCAATGTGCTCAAGCTGTACTCCTGCAAAGAAACTTTGCAGCTCTACCAGTAATTAAGTCTCATTAGAAATTTGCCACTGACTCTGAAATATGATGTGCCATCTTGAATACAACAGTGTGTAAATCAAAACACCACGCACATCTGCTGTCAATATTCTCTACTATTACAATTCCCCAGCTAGGAGACCAAGGTTTTGTAATAAAAAAGCAGAAACCTCTATTATTGATTTGATGTCTTTCATGCAACATCTCCGATTATTTTAAATAGAGAGCGTGTTCTTCCCTGGAAAAGTGACAATTGCAGAAAATTATAGAGAAAGAAGAATGATTCTTGGACAGTATGGATACTACACGTGAAAGAGACAGAAATATGAGTGAACATAGGTGAGCAAATGTATGAGAGGGGTGGGGGAAGTTAACCAACAGCTTAAATGGACAAGAAAGAAAGAAGATAGAGTCAAAAGAGAATCCAAGAGGAATGTCAATAATACCAGATGCCTGTACACAAGCGTATTTAAACACCACAGGCTCGGCACAACACAAGAGGTAGAAGTATAATTGCTGTAAAGTTTGTGAGCAGGCCAGGGTACATTATACACAGTACAGGAATCCTGCATAAGCACAGGAAATAGCAGCTGCAAGTGTGGACCAGGCTCAAGGAACAGAGAATACAGGTCACTGATGCCCACGGTGAGGTGGAAGACGGCTGAGCGTACTTCACAGAATGATTTGAGTTGGAAGGGACCTCGAAGATCATCTAGTTCCAACCCCCCTGCCATGGGCAGGGACACCCTCCACTACAACAGGTTGCCCAAAGCCTCATCCAACCTGGCCTTGAACACTTCCAGGGATGGGGCAGCCACGACTTCTCTGGGCAACCTGTTCCACTACCTCACCATCCTCAGAAGGAAAAATTTCTTCCTTATATCTAATCTAAATCTCCCCTCTTTCAGTTTAAAGCCATTGCCCCTTGTCCTATCACTACATGCCCTTGTAAAAAGTCCCTCTCCAGCTTTCCTGTAGACCCCCTTTAAGTCCTGGAAGGCTGCAATAAGATCACCCTGGAGCCTTCTCCAGGCTGAACAGCACCAACTCTCTCAGCCTGTCTTCATAGCAGAGGTGTTCCAGCCCTCGGATCATCTTTGTGGCCCTCCTCTGGACTCGCTCCAGCAGCTCCATGTCCTTCTTGTGTTGTGCATGCTTCCTTATATTTGTGTAGTTTGGAAACTGGCAGCTCCAGAGGCATTATCAATGTAAGAAGCCTGTACTTCTTGATACAGATTTAGGGCCAGGTCTTGGGTAGAATCGTGTCAGGTACACTTCTAGATGTCCCGAGGTACGCTGTCTCACCTGCGGCCGCTTCTCCAGAAGAGCACAGGGCTGACCTATGTTTCTTTTTTGCCTACTTCCATCCAGATGACTGAGATCTGAGACAGCAAAAGATATCTCAAAAGCAGTAGAGTAATTTCCTCTCCCCTTTCCTTTCAGCTATCTCGCTCCAACTTAAGGTCCAAGAAAGATGAAGGTATCTTCGCTGTATTCAGCAAATCCCAGAGGCAGACCAATCTTTCCATGAACAGTGACTTCCATAAATACGGTTCTCCCTGGGGCTTGTACCACATGCTAATTCACATTAGAAATTTTAAGCACAAAATTAAGCTTCTGCCATATCTGGGGAATCTGCTAAATGTCACTGAATTTTTAAGCCCATAGTAACGTTTCCAAAATCAGAAATTATCATTTCTTATGGAGAGGAGGGATAAGTAAACATCTAAATAGAAAGAAAAACTATTGAAAGCACAGGTCTAAATGACTGACAAAACCTGAATAAACACATATTAATTGGGTTTACTCATCAAGTCACAAAAGAAATAAACAGTCAAGACACCAAGTATACGGAAACATCATGAGCATTATATCAATATTTATGGAACACAACCAATCAAAATTCCTCCAGTCACGTGCAATGTGCCGTCTTCCAGATGACTATGGGTTTTTACATTAAGTATCACTACCGAAATTTTTGTTGCTCTCCGTGGTTTTGAACTGGATGTGGAATTAGAGCTTATGCTTAAGACACTACTCAGCGCAGGAAAATGCAGTAACACACATTTAATCCAGAAATACAAGGAAGATTTGAAGGTTAAATGTTAAAATCACAGACAACGAAACCATGCCATGGGTCGCATTGTTTGTATCTGATATATCTCTGTTAACTGCATTTTTTTTTTGTTGTTTTTTATTCAGGTAAGCTCAAATTTTAGTTATAACTGCTTACACATTTCATGCCTTCATAAGCATTGTCATTTAATTTATTTATTTATTTTTAGTAAGAGTAATAAAGAGAAACAGCAATTAAGAGCAAATATTCTGAATATTTGTATTACTTAGACTGGTCTATTTTAAGGCAAAATAGTAACAGAATTTCAAATCACAACGTGTTGTTTTCTAATTACAACAAAAGAATAACTATGCAATATAGGTTTAACATATGGCTAACATATGAATTGGACACTTTTTCTTCCTTGCTTTTTCATCTGCTCTGTGCCTTTTCTGTGTCATCTCCTCTATCATTGTATTTTGTTCAATATTAGGTACCAATTACTATGACATTACTCATGATAGTTAAGCTAAGCAAACACATGCATATTTGCCAAGCTGAGATTTTAGATGACAAGCTCAATGTGACGAAGGCATCTGTGTTTGTATAATCCCTAACACAATGGATGCGCTGCCACCTCTGGAATTTCTAAAGTAAGTAACTAATAACTAATTCACCATCCTCATGAAATGGGGAGGTGGCCATTTCATTATGGTCTTTTCATCAGATTTTTCTCACCAAATCTCACACAGAGAACAAATATTTGTTGTATCAGGAATTTGGTACAGCTGTGGCACGAATAGCATAAATATTCATCGTGGAAGAGTTCCTGTAACAAAAATTTCAAAGCAAAATTGGTAAATATCAAACTTCTCTTTCCAAGATCAGGCTCCTTTAGAAAGCAGTATTGATGCAGAATTCTAGATGGGAACTTTGAAAGTCAGCGATTGCTTTGATCACTTCAGGTTCCCTCGCACAGCTACGGGCCTTCTGCAGAGCCGGATGATGAGCAACAACAAAAACATGCGATGTAACCATTCCTGAGAGCCAAGCTAATGTGACCCCTACACTTCATTGCAGAAGACAGTAACAGAAAACAATGTAGCAGTTCCCCTTCAGACCATTCAGTATTAATCCCATATGCAAAGTAATAAAGAATTAAAATTCTTAAGTGTTCATTAACAAATACATAATAGAGATGAAAAACATTTACGTACGATTGCTACATGCATCTACTACTTCCAGCTACTAAAAGGGTTATTCTTCAAGTTGGTGTACTTCATGCACAACAAGCCAATTCAAACAGAAATGATCAGTAGATTAGGCATGCCACTAGACTCATCTTTTTAAATAATTATGTATTATTAAGCTTAGTGGTAAGGAGAAGTTCACCATAATCATACTGAGTTTCAGTTGGGTACTTAAGAAGTTTGAAGAGGATGACATTTAATATTTTGTATAACACAAACCAAGCTAAGGTAATGTTTTCCCCATATAAATTACTACACATTTTTCATTGCAGCCTGTCAGTCTTTCAAACACATTCCCTACAAAACGGATGAAAGGTTATTTTTCTAATATATTACTCATTCTGATCTTGCTTGTGGCTGTCTATAATCAGAAATAACTTTTGTGAGGTCAATGGATCTTATCAGCCAAAACAGTTTAACTGTTCCTTAAAAGTACATGAAGGCTTGTTCCTCCCTCAGTGATGTTTGCCATTAAGTGAGCTGTTGACCAGCCATATAAAAGACAAACACCTCAGATCAAACTGTTTATAATGTAACATTAGCAGTCGACCAGATGTGCTCGCTCCTCATGCAAAGATTTGCAAGATAGTGCAGCTGTGGAGAATTAGCTGGCACTATTTCATCATATAA